GCGCCAGCACAGGGGGGGTGGGGGGATGGGGCTGTGCTCTTTAGCCTGCAGGCCCACATTTTAATCCAGCTCCACATCCTACTGCCATGCGATCTTGGGCAGGCCATCGGGTCACTCTGTGGCCCAGTCCTTCATCTGAAAAAAGCAGTACCTCCCTGACAGGGCTGTCACGAGGATTGCCTGCAATAATGTTCCGGAGACTGCTCGGCTCCCAAGACCCCTGAACAAGTGTTCCCTATTAGTAGTAGTACTTGTCTGCTCTCCCTACCCGTCTGAGTTCTTCCAGGAGGTGGGAGCGGCTCTGGGAATGTTTAGTGAGTAGATATATTTGCTGGCCTTGTGCCAGATACCAGGGCTAGAGGGGTAAGCAAGTCATACCTGGTCTCAGGCTAGTGACAGACAGAAGTATTACCCCCCCAAAAAAAATCACACTCACATGCACAATCAATCTAAAGTCACAATGGGGACCAAGTGCCATTGAGGGAGAATCACCCTGCTATGACAGTGTTTAATAGGAGCTCCTGATGGGGAAGACTCTCTGATTGGCCTCTGGGGCATGAGTAGGAGTCAATTAGCAGGGGAAGCCAGGGTGAGAACATGCTAGGTGAGGGAAGCATGTGCAAAGGCCCTGTGGCCAAAAAGGAAAGCCCTAAGAGGCTGGAGCACAGGGAACTGACAGCAGGCAGCTGGAGACTGAAGGAATGGGCAGGTCTCAGCACCCTCCTGGTCATGCTGCCATGAGACACATCCACTTTTAAACCAGGTGGATAACATGATCAGTGCTGCATTGTAGAGAATCACTCCAGCTGTGGTATGGGGGCATTTGGAGAAGGTAGGGGTGGATGTGGGGAGGCCAACTGGGAAGCTACTGCAGTTAAGTGGTCCAGGTGAGAGTCAAAGGTCCCTTGGATGAAGGTAGTGGTGGAGATGAATGAGGCCATGGTCTTGGGAGATAAAGCAGATAAAGCGGTCCTGATCAAAGACAGGATAGGAAGACAAGAGAGGTAGTGCGAGGGGGTCTCCAGCATACGCTGCTGCTGGAGGCAGAACCTTCACTGAGATGAATCAACAATCCCGTTATTTGGCCAGTGTCCGGGCTCCACAGTGAGCCAGTACTCATCTTTATCTTTCCACGTCTCATAATTTTTCAGATAAGGAAACTGAGGCTTAGTTCTATTAAGAGCCCAAGACACTGGGCCTCTGGAGCTGCCCACACCCACTTCGCCTGGTGCCCAGCAGAGCACCTGTGGCAAGAGGTAAACACGTCTGGACCCTAAGGCAGAGTCCTGGGCTTCTCAGGAGACAGGATGAGTAATCTTGATAATTGAATTTTTGAGTTAGACTTAAAATATGGCCAAGATTAAAGAGGCAATTTGGCAGGACTGGGATCCCCCAGGCAGGTTTCTCGGCCTCCACAATGCTGAGAACTTACTAACAAGATCGGTCTTTCTCGTGTTCACAGGCCCATTTACAAGCAGTTCTCAGGGCTGCTGTGTCGAGGAATTCAATTGTGGGTCCCTGGGCCCCTGCTCTGGTCTTAGGCGACCATTTGTTGGAAAGAATAGGGTGAGAATACTTGGTTTGGTAATGCAGGGAAGGACTGCAGTTTTTCAAATAGACAGCATTTCAGGGGGACAGGATAATCCACAGGACAGATTTTAACAGACTCAGGTTCAAATTCTGACTACCCACCCCTCCACTCAGTTTTCTCATCTGTAAACTAGGGTGGTACAGATTAATGAGATGACTGCTACCCAGAGGGGTGCCAGTCTGCAGGGGAGAGGATTTCTCCTTTCAGGCTCATGACAGGGAAGTGGGCAGGTGGGCTTTAGAAGTTAGCTCCAAGCACCACTCCCAAGGTGGGGCGGCAGGAGGCCCTATGCCTCTCTCCCCTCTCCCTCCTTCTCTCTATATATTTAGCCCCTGCAGCTGTTTCTCTCAGGTTCGGTCCTTAAGCAAACCTGGTGATTAATTTCACCAAGTGGAAATTGAAGCATATTCTGATCACTGCTTCAAAGCCTCCTGAATTCAGTTACTGGTAAAATTAACTCACCAGGGACAATGGAGCTTTTTCCAAGGTCCAAATTGTCCTTATTTGCAGTTTGTTCTTGGCCCTAATCCAGCCCCCTGCAAAACAGGCTGCTCCTCCACCCGCCAGAAGAGGGAGGACCTTCAATAGCCCAAGGGTGTGAATATTTTACATGACTCAATTTAAATTTGGGGATAAAAATATACTTTGCTTTGGATTATGGTGGTGTCCTACAAAACTGTGGGTGACCTGAAGTGAAAGACCAGCTGGGCTCCCAGAGCCCTCTCCTCTGCAGGCCCTGCTCCCAGACACGCCTGGGCTTACCAACCAGATGGGTCTGGGACGTAGCAGAATCAAATGGGGATCTTGCCTCACGTGCCCTTGCCAGTGACCAAGTTCAGCTCCCATAAACTGTGTACTAACCATGTGCCAGGCAAGGCAGTATCTCTCCCCCGTAGGTATGTCTGAACCCAGGTCTTACTTCCTAGCCTCGTGTTTGCACATCGGCCACGGGAACTTAAAATGGTACTTCAAAAACTTGCCTGAGACCAGCCACTGACAGACTCTGAAGAAGAGACTGATTTTTGGAAAGGCTCTTTTGTTCAGCTACTTCCACATTTTGAGGCTCACAACAACTCTGCAATCAGGACTGGGTAGAAGAGTAGCTCCCGCTTTACAGGTGTAGAGGCTGCTGACAGAGCCAGAGACTTGCAGCTAGAACCCAGGCCTCCTGCTCCCTGCACAGGGCCCTGCTAGTCCATCTCCTCTGCAGACCAAGCTTCCATTTAAGAAAGTCAATTGGGTGACTTCTTGAGAAAGGAACTCCACATGACATTATGCCTAAGTCTATTTTCACACACTGGCCTGTATTAAAACGAGGTACATGTGTGCAGATATTTCTCAGAAAGAGAGCATAGGTGACAGGAACCCAAACATGAAGGTTCGTACTGACCCTTGCCCCAGCCCCTCACTTAATGGATGGGGAAACAGGTGAAGTGGGGCGCCCACAGTGAGAGGCCCACTCCCTTGACTCCCGGCCTGGGCCTCTACTCCCTACTCCTCCAGCTGATGCAACCATGTCACCACCAATCGTGCTCATGTCTGGGGAGCTGCAGGGACAGCAGGGGACAGCACAGTCTGGGGTTTGGAAGGGCAGGAGGAATCAAGGCCTATGGATGAGTCACTCAGGATGTCCTGTGAATACAGGAGTGATCCTGACCACCACCAGAGTCTGCTACCCAGGCTCTGGGAGGCTCCAATGAAGTCATGGGGAGAGGGTGCCTGTAAACCATACTGGACTAAACAATGGAGGTGTTACACTCCCCTCAGCAACTTGGAGGCAGGGTCTCCCTCCCACCAAGCCTCCTCCAGGGCCTGGTCCCGTGCTTGGCTGTTTACTGAGCACCTTCCATGTGCCAGCACTGGGCCAGCTGGTAGTTCTGTGGGGAATGCAATGCTCTGCTCTCCAGGGCTCAGGGGAGGATTCACAAACAGGGAGTATGGGGGCTGCAGAAGCGGAGGGGAGGCACTTTACTCAGTATCAAAGGTCAGGAGAGGCTTCCTAAGAGGGGGGTGGGGGGATTTTTGAAGAACCATTCAGAGCTAGCTAGAAAAATGGTGGGACATACATTCCAAAGAGGGAGCATCCTGGGCCGAGGCTGGGAGGGGCAGCGTGGCCTGTGCAGTGAGCTGGAGACAGTTCAGTTCACCTGGAACATGGAGTGACAGGCTGCGGGTGCTGGCACAGGCCAGATCTGGGAGCCTCGTAAACCTTGTCAGGGGCTGAGGCTGGAGCTGAGGGGAGCAGAAGCTACTAAGGCACTTTGGGCAGAGGAGCTTCCTGGTCAGAGGCATGATTTTTCTCAATACCTTGACTGCTGCAGGGTAGAAGAAGTAAGACTTGAGAAACTGGATGTAAAAGGAACTGGAGACAAGGAGCCAATGGATAGGGGACAGGAAAAGGGACCAGAGAGTAGCATCCCCAAGAGGTCACAGCAGGAGAGGGGATGACACACGAGCAGTCTAGAGGGACAGGAGATTGTAGTCAGAGGGCAACATGTCAGAATCAGTTATTTCAGAGAGAAAACTGAGGGGCATCCAAGTGGACACTGAGATCCCTGGAATGACAGCGCCTGGGCTTGGGGCTGTGAGGCAAGAGTAGTACAGCTTCATGTCAAAGCGTGGCTGGGGAGTCCCAATCTGTCACTGCCTCTCAAGGGAGCCTGGGCCATGCTTAAGCCTCATCTGCAGACAGGGCTAAGCCCTACCCTGTTACTTCTCAGGGATACCAGGAAGCTCAGGGCAAAGGTAAATGACAGGGTTGCAGCAAGCAGGTGCACCAGGCAGCAACGTGCACAGCTGAGTGGCTGATCACTGTCGTCATCGGGACAGGGTGAATGCCAAGATGCAGCTCTGGGCTTCACTTTGCTCTTTCCTAAACTGGGAACAGCACCACCTCAGAGGGCTGCTCTATGCCAGGACAGAGAGAAGCCGAGCACGTCCAATGCCTGTGACCACACTGCACAGGGTTGATCCTCTGTGGATCCCTGCATGGGCTGAGCAGTGAGCTTGGGGCAAGATCTGAGGGTCATGCGACTGCCTGCCCCAGCCTGTCCCATTGGGAGTTTCAGACCTGGGTTCTGTGGCTCCACAAACAATAACTGAATCATCAGGTTGACATGAAATGAATACTTAATGAGAATCTTCAAACCACGATGCTGGCTGAGAATTAAGCAGATCCAGGGTGGTCGTGAAGCCCAGCAACATGTGCAGCCTCAGCTCCACGCACCTGCCCCAGAGCCCAGGGCCGTTTTCATACCTTGTAGCAGAGCACCTGAGCCTTCCTGACAACAACCCTCAAGCCGACTTTTGGATAGAAAACATTACGGGAAAAAATAGATTTTCTTTGGCCAGACAGCCCTTTCTTCTTCAATAAATAGGAACCACGCTTGGAACAAAGAGACTGTGTGAGCTCGGCGGGGAAACACAAGCTTTATTGGCTGCAAGTTCTCCTCAGGAGCCTGGTCTGCTGGGACCGGATGTTCCTGGATGAGCACCCCCGGGCCTGAGCTAGGAAACAGGAGGGAAAAAAGGAGAATCGTAAGCCCAGTGCAAGGTTTCTGAAGTAAGATCCCTGACAGAGTTAAAAGCGAGATTGTTATTCTGAAACGGCTTTCAAAGACATACTGTTTGACCAGTCAACATTTATACCACGAAATGACAATGAGATCATCCATTCATTCAAGAAATATTTATCAAATGCCTACTATGTGCCAGGCACTGTTTGATGTATTTCTCACTGGTAAAAATAGTATACGGATTTAAAAATTAGGACAACCACAGACAACATAGCATGATAAAATGAAACTTTTCATGCACTGCTGGCAGAAAAACACCGCTCTGTGGAGGACATGTCCCCTGCTTTCACTTTCAACTTCATTTTTCAAAAGAAGTCACTTCTGGCCCTGCACCCATCCCTATCCCCAAATGGCTTTTAGTGAAAAAAGACTCAAAAGGACATTACCTCCAGGTTTCCTCTGGCCTTCCGAAGGATTTTGTGGGTTACAACCACTGAGGAGAAAGCAAAGAATGGGATGATTACAGACAGAGAAGTCCAGGCGGTCAGTGTGAAAGCCAAGTACAGGAAGGAGCCCCCAACCCCAAAGGGTTCAGACAAGTGGACAACCCTAAAGCAGACCAGAGGGAGGTGTGACTGCCACCCACCTCCCCCCAGCCCCCATCCCACTGCATATCCCAGGACCAAATAATCCATCAGAAAGGGTGGACCACAGACACCTCTTCAAGTCCTCTCTAAGCCACAACCTCACGGTGATAGAGAGGGCAGGTGCCCGGCATTCTTTGGTTTCCTGGGCCCTCTGGGAAGCAGCTGTGGGAAGGGGGAATGCCCCGCTCCAAGCAAACCCGTATGTGGAGTCCCAAGTCCAACATCAAGGAAAGTTCTGTTAAGTCTTTACACAGCAGTCCTTAGAGCAAGCTCCTAATGGCCTGCGGCAGGAACTCTGGGCATGTTTTCCTCCTTTGCCTGCCCTTCAGCTGGTAGATCAGCCAAACATGGTTCCCCTGGGCAAGTCACACTCTGCCTGGACAGAAGCAGGTTGGGTGGGATGATTGCAGGGGTCCCTGTCACTTCTGACACGCTGAGCTGTGCCCTGGGCAGACCCCAGTGTATCAGAGCTCCCGGGAGGAGCAGGAGTGCCCTACCTTTCAGGAAAGCAGCTGTAAAGTAAGGTCCCTTCCTCCCTCTATCTTTTTCTCACTCAGCACAAACTCCAGCAGCGGCAGAAACGCCACCAGTGAACCTAATTGGGAATCTGTTCTATATAGGGCTTAGTGAGCCTAATTAGGAATCTGATTTCTGAGACTAATTGGGAATCGGTTCTACATAGGGCTTAGTGAGGCTGGGGAATCAGCTTACTCCTGGGTGGGACAGACAGAAGTCTTCTGGAGCCAGGCCTTCAGCCAATGGTGCCCGAGACTGAAACAGATTTGCCTCAGACACACACAGCCCAACTCCGCAGTGGCTTAATCAGAATAGGTGCTATGTGGTAGCACTGAGAAAATATTTATTTCTTGCCTCACAAAAATTTCCCTGTGAAGGTAACAAAATCTATGTGCAGTCTGTGACACTGGGGAAAGGGACAGATGCTGTAGACTCTGTTCTGAACTGAGCAAAACGAATTTCAGACGTGGCCACTGCCTCTCTGTGCCCCTACCCCTACCTCATGCTGCAGGGCAGAAGTTCTTAACCTGGAACCATGGATATGCTTTGGAGAGTCCTAAATCCCAGGACACTATGTGCAAATCTGTGCGTGTATGGACATAATGTATTTTTCTGTGGAGAGAAACCATACCTTTCTCGAGACTCACCAAGGAGCCAGTGACCCAGAAAAAATTAAGTATTGTGGTTGTAGAGGTTAAAAATAATTTTGAAAGAATACTGAATGTACCTGGAGAAGAAAACTCACAGTAGAAGAGCTAAGGATCACCTGGTCCAAGTTGTGAAGGGACCCTTATATCTGAATGGCACCGCCCACACTTCAAAGCACAGAAATCCCCTCTGTGAGGAGAAGACTGAGGGACAGAGCAATAAAGAACTTGTCCCAAATCAAGACTTGCCCCAGTGCATAGATGTGACTCACACCCCGGCCTGCCTGCCTCAGCAGAGTGCTGGCAACGAAGGCACCAAGCTGAGTGGTATCCACCTGGTGACAGGCAGTGTGCCAACCGTGACCTCACTGAATACCCCCAACCCTATGGCGCAGGATCCCTGCCCTCACTTTGCAAATGAGGACCTGAGGCTTGGAAGTGAAGTGGGTGGTTCCAGGTCACGCGGCCATTCCAAGTCAAATGGCCAGTGAGTGGCAGGGTCCTCAGGTCTCACTGGGACATCCTTTCCTTTCACTGGGAGTAGTATGGTATCAACTCAACCCAGGCAGGGGACTGGCCCTGGCCCTCGCTCTTCTCTGTCACTGTGTGGGGAAGGAAGAGGCGGGGACACTATGCCAACTTTTGCTTAGTCTCTTTACAGCCAGAAGCAGACCTGTGAGGCTGGCAGGATTTGGGCAATTTCTAAGGACCTGACTTGTCAGGATGAGCTGTGGGATCTGGCACAGGAGAAGGAGCAGCAGGCCCGGGTCAGCCACCAGCTGTGCGACCTGAGGCAAGCCCCTCACCCCACTCTGAGTTGAACCTGCTCCATGCCAGGCCTTGGAGATATGGGCAACACCATCTCAGGAGGGACAGTGCTATGAGACGTTGTGGGTTTCTTACTATGAATGATTTGCCACCCCCATACATAAGATTCGGTCTGACCTAATGGAAAGAAAGAGGAAGAGAACTCATAGTTGTTGAGCATCTACTCTGCCCCAGGCACTGTGCTAAGTACAATACTGTGTAGACAGCATCTTCCTCCCCATTTTACAGATGAGAAAACTGAGGTACTTTTTTTTTTTAATCAAGCTGTGATTAGAACCCAGGTCCACCTGGCCAGCTGAGTCCTCTGGAATTACTGTCTCCATTAGTGATGAGGAATTTAAAGCTCAGAGTTAAAATCGTTTAACCAGGTCACACAGGAGAGCAGAGATTTGAACTCTGTTCATTCAGTAATTCCACGCTCACTGACCCAGAATGATGAGAGCCAGGGTTCTGTCCTCTGGATCTGTCACAGTAACTTAACCCATGTGAACCTAATTCTGCCTACATCTGCAATGTCCTCCCCTGTAAAGAGGGTTACTACATGTGCCCTGGGGCTGCCTGGGGCTGGGCTGCCGAGGAAGAGATGCTAATGCAGAAAGTCTGTTCCTGGACTTGGGGGTTGCACAGAGCATCCTTTCCCACCCCTCTGCTGCTCAAGAGTCTAACCCAAATGTTCCGCAGCTACCTCAACACGACACTGACTGGCAATGTCTCCCTCCAGGTCCCCTCCAGTGCTCTTCTTCTCTATGAGAGACATGAGCCCTTCAGCCAGAACACTACAGACATCCATCACTCTGCTGGGTCAATGACCTTACTGTCTTTCAAAACCATCCCCTCTCTTCCGTGGGCCTGCCCCAAACCCATCAGGCCTCTCCACTGCCCGCCTGGGGGACTGCCACGGCCCCCAAAGGTTTCCCCTGCCTACTGGCTCTTCCATGCCTCTAATACACAAATGGGCACATCAGTCCCTGCTGGCCCACAAGGCTCCTGGTCCCTACTTATCCCGCTCACAGCAAAAGCCTTGGCATGCCCTGAGCATGTCCCTGAATACTCAGTTCTCTCTTGCCAGATCCTGTTGCTGTCCCTTTGCTGTATGACTAAACTACTCACCCCTCAAGACCCAATCGGTCTTGAACCAGAGGCCTGAACCACCTCTCCAGCTACCTGAGATGCACTCGGCCCATCATCCTGCAGCTAAAGTTTGTACCCAACCCCACTCGCCCCATTAAGCCCAAGCTCCTTGCTGGCAGTAACTGTCTCATTCTCCTCTGTCCTCAGAGCCCAGCACCAGGGGCAGAGAACAGGAACTAAACGCCTGCTCAGTGCCTGGGCTTGTCTTTTGCAGTCTCACAGAGTCTGTCTTCAGAAGGTCCCTGGGGGTGGCTAAGGAGAACTCCTACTCGGCAATAATCTATGTTCTGTGCTTCCCAGAAATGGCCCAGAAACGTTGGCCTTTGATAAGAGAGCAGCGCAAGGCAGGCTGGCACCTCCAGAGAGGAAAGCGCTGCAGTCGGCACTTCTGAGACAGGTAGATGACACGCAGACACGTGGGGCCTGGCCAGGGCTGCGCTGCGAGAGGCACTAATGGCAACTCAGCAACCGCCTGCTCCTCTAAACATGCAGGGTACGGGAGTGCTGGGGGCTTCAACTGGGAGACGGGGCTT